TTGTAGTGATAATTACCCTATTAAAAATCTTCTTAATGCTAATTTAAGGTGCCCTTGTGTTCCTGTTCATCAAATAAGACGAACAGAAAATTAAATTCAAAATTTATACAGTCATCCTTTCTCTATAATCATAATGAAAAAAAAAAAATTACAGAAAAATTCTCGTGGTTCTTAATGTACCTACAGACAGATGTATCATTCTATCCTTTTCTTGGCGCATTTTAATTTATGTGATTTATTCATGGAGTACCAAATATGTTTTTTTCCCCTTTTACCAAGAACTCAAAAGATTTAAACTGACAATCATCACCCTCGCACTCCTGCAAAATCCAATCACTAATTTTCCAAATGTTCTGCAGTTGACAGGAATTCTTCAGACTCCACTGCAAATCCTCGGACGAGACACTTGACCTCTACGCTCCACGGCCAAATCAGGTATTATATAGATCTCGCATATCCAAGGTCAATGAAAAAGGCTGAAGCACCCTCTTCTTCGAAAGCAAAATTGAAGAGGACCTATAAAAAAATCAACACCAAATACTTCTTGAATAAAGACGAAGTGAAAAACTCCTTCAAACGACTTCAGATTGCATGTTTCTCGGAAAAGCCTCGAACAAACACCAAAATCTTGAGCAATGCACGCGAACTCAACAAAGCGTGGGGGAGAGATTTTTCTCTCGTCGATGTAGCTGCAAATCAACTGAATCTTCGAGAACTGATTCAGAGAGCACGATCCACCGTGAAAGAAATTGAAAACTTCAATCTTTAGACTCACAGAGAGATGAGAAGATTAAGGTTTCGAGGGTTGAGATAAAAGGAATCTCGTAATATGCTAAAACGATTGATTGATAGAATATCATATATAGGGGAAAGTTAAAGTTAAGGCCCCAACCAGGGCGATGGGCGTGCGACTGGCATCATGCAGCGCAGGAGTTGGCGCTAACAAGTATAGAAAGCATTAACCAAGAGCAATAGGGGTGTGACTAGTGTGCAGAATTGGAGCCGGTTGATGAAGTCCTTTTTATTCCTCTGTGTGTATTTTTAATCATTTATAAACTTACTAAAATGTAAGACTAGGCCCCTATTTGAATTATAGTCTTAAAAATCGAAGAGCCCATCCTTGTCATATCAAATTATATATAGCCAGCATGAAAACCGCCAGAGTCCTCGTATCGAAATAGCATATGCTGGTTATCAATAATGTTTCACGTACATAAAATTTATTACAGGAAGGATACAGAAATTCAAAAAATCTGATGTGGCACATAGTTCATTATTATTTTCTGACAACTATCAAACCGTCCCCTTTTACCCACCCCAATACACCCCACACCCAACACAGCCACCCCATCCCTTTATTTCCTTATTTACGATCTCAAATTTTGAAAGTATTACAGAAATATTATATGAAGTCGAAATATTACATTCTTAATATTATTTCGAAGTGTTCACGGCCTAGTTTATCGCATCCTTAACCGCGTACGAAACGGCCAAACGTAGCAAAAGTTACCACTCGTCAAAATAGGCCGTTCCAAAATATATAAATGATTTTTCTTATTTTTGTCTCAATTTTCAGGATCATTACGGGATGTCAAACGAAATTAAAATATCGCATTTTTAATATTATTTCGAAGTGCTCACGGCCTAGGTTATCGCATCCTTAACCGCGTACGAAACGATCAAATGTAGCAAAAGTTACTACTCGTCGAAATAGGTCGTTCCAAAATATATAAATGATTTTTCTTATTTTTGTCTCAACTTTCGGGATCATTACGGGATGTCAAACGAAATCAAAATATCACATTATTAACATCATTTCAAAGTGCTCACAACCTAGTTTATCACATCCTTAACCGCGTGCGAAACGGCCAACCATAGCAAAAGTTATCACTTGTTGAAATAGGCCGTTCCAAAATATATAAATGATTTTTCTTATTTTTGTTTCAATTTTCGGGATCATTACGAGATGTCAAATAAAATTGAAATATCACATTCTTAACACCATTTTGTAGTGCTCACGGTCTAGTTTATCGCATCCTTAACCTTGTGCAAAACAGTGACATCCCGTAATGATCCCGAAAATTGAGACAATAATAAGAAAAATCATTTATATATTTTGGAATGGCTTATTTCGACGAGTGGTAACTTTTGCTATGGTTGGCCATATCGCACGTAGTTAAAGATGCAATAAACTACGCCGTGAGCACTTCGAAATGGTATTAAGAATATGATATTTCGGTTTCATTTGACATCCCGTAATGATCCCGAAAATTGAAACAAAAAGAAGAAAAATTATTTATATATTTTGGAACGGCCTATTTCGACGAGTGGTAACTTTTGCTATGGTTGACCATTTTGCACGCAGTTAAGGATACGATAAACTAGACTATGAACACTTTGAAATGGTGTTAAGAATGCAATATTTTGATTTCGTTTGATAACTCATAATGATCCCGAAAATTGAGACAAAAATAAGAAAAATCATTTATATATTTTGGAACGGCCTATTTCAACGAGTGGTAACTTTTGCTCCGTTTGGCCGTTTCGTAAGCGGTTAAGGATGCGATAAACTAGGCCGTGAGCACTTCAAAATGATATTAAAAATGTAATATTTCGACTTCATATAACATTCCTGTAATACTTTCGAAATTTGAGATAGTAAATAGGAAAATAAAGGGATGGGGTGGCTGTGTTGGGTGTGGGGTGTATTGGGGGTGGGTAAAAGGGGACGGGTTGGCAGTTGTTAGGAAATAATAATGAAGTATGGTGCCACATCAGATTTTTTGAATTTCTGTATCACTTCTGTAATCAATTTTATATACGTGAAGCATTATTGTGCTGGTTATTGCTTGAAAGTTGTATGCACATTCTCTCTTGTTAAAATTTTACAAATAACAAAAGGGGAAAAAAATCGAAATAAATTCTCTAATAACCATTATCTTGTATATCGTTTTTATAGTGATGCAGCGCAGAAGTTGGTGTCAATGAGTATGGAAAGCATTAATCAAGGGTGATGTGCATGACGAATGGGAGCCGGCATGGAGAAGTCTTTTCTATGCCTACTTAATTGGTTCTTTTTTGTACAATACCTTTGGTAGAAAATAGGAGGAAGCAAAAAAGTCTTTCGCAAATTAATTTTGGCTGCTTAAAAGTTAAGACCATGTTTTAGGTCAGACATGTCATCTGAGAGATGATCTCTCTCATTTCCAACCATATTAGCCTGAGGACGCTGCTTGTTATCCCTCCGAGGCTGACGGCAGTCTGCCGATCGATGCCCAATTTTGTCACAATTGAAGCATTTTCCGTTGAACTGGAACTTGGGTTTCTTTCCTACTCCACCGGTAGGTTTCATCTGAGACCCTTTCTTGGTCTGCTTTTTATCTTTCCAATTTTCGTTTCCCTCTTTGGCTTTAAAAGAATGACCTTTCTTGGTACCAGAACTCTGGCCGTGCTCTAGGACATTGGCCTTCTTAGAGTAAGAATTCCCTGACTTACGTTCAGCCTGTTTGTTATCCTCCTCAATGCGCAGCTTGATAATTAAATCCTCGAAAGACATCTCTTTCCTCTTATGCTGCAAATAGCTTTTGAAAGCCTTCCACTAAGGAGGTAGCTTGTGAATAGCAGTAGCCACCTGTAGAGATTCTGACATGATCTCTTCCTTTTAATTATACAAAACTTGGCAACAATATCATTTGATGAGTCATGTTTATTCTTATAACAAAATTATATATGTTCAATTTGAACAAAATAATTGTTATATTTAAATTTTAGGCCTTATTCAATTTCTATTTTTTTTAAAATACATTTTTCTCTTTTCTTTTCATTCACACATTCTTCAATAAAATAATATTATATTTAAATTCAAAAAATTTCTTTATTTTTAACAACACTTTATCCTTCAAATCACTGTTCAAAAATGCATTTTTTACAAAAAATAAAAATAAAAAATGGTATCAAATGAATTCTTAATATTTTATTGCGATCGACGGTAGATGGTCAACGACCGCCCGTGTTGACTCAAACTCTTGGATTCGCCCCTGCATATTGATAGCGTTGTTTTGTAGCCACAATAAATATACTACTTCCAATCTCTTGAGACCACCTATAATGTCCTAATATTTTACATTCTTGGTTAAGTATTAATATATTCTTGTATTCAAGTTTATTGTTATTTGATATTTATTGTTTCTTTGTGTATATTACATATTGTCCAAAACAAAAGAATCATAACCACACAAGTCCAAGTGTGCTTATGAAATTTACTTTTACCGCACTCTAATCCAGTATATGCACAAATACGAATAGCTACATAAATTATTTTTCTTGGAAAAACAATGCAGCGTGTGCCCACAGCTAGCTGATAACTCTCGACGCCGACAACAACTTTGATGTCATTCATGTATTCACATTTATATATTATTACCTTTTATCATTTATTAATTTTAAATAATTTTGAACAAAAAAATTTATAAGCCATCACAATATTATTAATGCATACTGTCGCAAGCCGTCAGCGCAAGAGACAATGCCATATGGTTATTCCAAAAAATGACACATGTACCGGATAAGCAAAAGATGTTAACTCGCGAATTACTTTGTTACCTTCATGAGAAACATGACAACAAAAGACACTGCTAACTTCATGAAGTAACCTTACTATATGCTACAAAAACACCATATTTGACGTCAAAGTAGAATCCGAATGGATACTTTGGATAGTAGGCACGGAATCATTCTCCATGGAGTCGATCTCAAAATCTTGTTTACATTTAGACAATAAGTCTTCTCGATTAGCTAAAGTCTTGATATCACCTGATGAGAAAAAACTTCAATTCTTTGGCGAAGGGAGAGACCACTGACAAGACTCCCCATTGTCCCTACCCTCACATTCACGGCAGCATCTGTATTTAATTGATAATTGATAAAACATTTTACAAAACAAAACTTAAAAAAATATAGATTTGCAGCATTTTGTTGGGTCGAGGGCAAAAATACAATATGGCAATAGGTTGGGGACGTTGGTCCTCAAACTTCACTTTTGAATCGGACGTCCTCTCCCATCTCATTCCGCCACGTGCCCTGCTCCTCTCTACGCTCTCTACCTACGATCTCTGATCTGAGTACAGTATATATGATCAACCTCTTCAAATGGATTAATGATTATGGCATTTGGTGAAAACAAAACAAAATAATACAACAGTAAGATTTCCATATTTGTTTTGTTCCGACCCGTGCAGCGATTTTTGAGGCGGAGGCATTTGTTTTCCACCATCAAATTTGTTAGTATTCTAATTTTTCAATCTGATCCTCATTTTTCGTTTTTAGTTTTTGCTCTGTTCTACTTTTTAGATTCCACCTAGGGTTTGCATTTTTATATATTGTTGTGCGTGATTGTTTACGATAATGGATTCGATTTATTAGTTGAGGTAATTTTTCTCTGTTCTTGTTTTGGGTAGTGACTGGTCTGGCCGTTGTTCCAATGGCTTTCGTTGCGAACCGGTTGGTCTCCGTACATCCAGAGGACCTAAAGTTTCATGGTACACGTCTTCTCACTCGAGTTTTCTATATGTCTATGTTTTTTTTTCTCTTTCTTTGGGCTTGTTTCTATCGGAATGTGAATGTTTTAGATTGAAGCAAAGTTATTAAATTTTTTGGACTGAAGAATATTGAGGTTAACAATGCTTTTGTTTGGAACCGCCTCTAATTAGCCTAGAAAACCGGTGGCTAGAGTGCTGGAGAAGTGACTCATTGTATGTGAATTGACTGTGATACATTATCATAGGAAATTACTGAAGCATTTTATTAGGTGGTGGAGTGATCCAGCTTTGACAAGTAAAACTGACTTCTATTAGGCCTTGTTTGATTGCAAAGGTGGAAAAGACAAACTAATTCCATGTAAGTTGGAAAAGAAAAATTCACCAAAACAATAGGAATGCATTTTCCACTTAATTGGCTACAAACATGCTTTAAGTGTTTATACCTTATAATTCGAACTCCATTTTCACTTTTGTATTAAACAACTAAAGTAGAAAACGAATTCCTCGGATGTGACTTTCATGGAATTGAAGCCAATTTCTTAGTTATTTAAAAAGAAGCAATACCTCGGTAAACTTCAAGGCCCGTGGGTGAGTATCCATTTTTTTTTTTTTTTTTTTTGGGGTGGGGGGGTGTTGACGTGTCATGGATGTTGTAAGATATACAAAATTCAGAAGATGCAACATATTTGGTCTAAGTGAGAAGAATGACATTGGTAATTGGCTTGTATGACTTCGTCTAATGAAAGATCAACAATCCAGGATTACAGAATTCTCAACTGGGCAAAAAAGACCCCTTATCAGGAATAATGATGAAGAGAATGACTAATTTACCCTGCCTCTGAACATATTCGGAATAAGCTTTTTCTTGTATTTAAGGGACTTTTGCGACAAATTTGAATTGTTACTGCTACAATAGTGAAAATGTCATTAGATGTTCTTCACGTTGAAGTCAATAATCATAAATTTGCACAAAGCACATGGATGTTTATGCTGCAAATTGCAATTTAAAAAAACATTTCCATGATTATCTTCCTGTAATTTGGCTTCCTCATTATGATCCTTCACATAAGAGTCTCCTAATTGAATTGTCTTTCTTGCATGGAAAAGTTAAGGAAAGAGAGAGCTAGCAAGATGTTATAGTAGATTTACGTGTCGCTAAAACTCGTAATGACGTATGACTTTGTTTGTTCCTTTCATCAGTTGAGCTGGAGAAACACAGTTATTGTGATCTTAAAATTACGAACAACACAGAGAACCATGTTGCTTTCAAGGTACTCTATTTAGTACTCAATAGACATAACTCATTCTTTTTCAATCCGACATCATGGTATTTTAGAATATTTTATGTATTACTTCATTTTGAAATACTTAATTTGTTAGGTGAAAACTACTTCTCCAAAGAAGTACTTTGTGCGGCCAAACACTGGTGTCATACATCCATGGGATTCATCTGTCATAAGAGGTGGTTTCCATCAGCTTGTCATATTTCAATTAGTGGTGAAGATACCATTGTGCTACAATAAATGGCAACAATTAATGGATTTTAGATGCTATGTGATTCTTAAAATGGGTAAAAATAGTACCATATTTATATGGCACAAATGCAAAAGGGTGCTTAGTTCTAGATCCCTTGAAGACTGTAAACTAACATAATGTAATTATATTCTATATGGTTCTTTGTTTCTTTGGATTTAGTTGGAAACAGAGACCATATGCATTATCATTATTTGATCATGGCCTAGTTTATATCACATGTTTAACCTATGTTGGACTTTCAAACATTGTTGCAGATTCACTTCAGAAACTGTGACATGATTTAGTTACATGCATGTGTTAATATTGAAAGCAAAGAATACATGGTCAGCTCTTCGAAAGTAATTTTTATGTATTTGATGATAAAGTGGGGGTTAGTTGAGCAGTCCCAACATCTCAAAAGATGTTATCCCCTTCATGGTAATGGCAATAAATCATGTTTACATTATTCCAAAATGCTTTGATCCAGTTTATCAGATGAATGCTTTTAATCCCAGTTGCAACCCATCTCTCCTCCAAATTCAAGTTCAGAAGAAACCTCTTTTAGGCAGTTTAGAAGACATAATTTCCTTGTTCCATACTCCAAAAGTTAGAACTCACAAAAGTGCCCCTACTTTTTGGTGCTTTGAAATTATGCAGCAAAGAAATGGATATTTTACCTCATATCGCTTTCATTTGTCTATGTGATTTATTCTTCTCCGCCTGATGATCATAAACCACTCAATTCAAGTGCATAGCTTAAGTTACTAGATACATGTCATCATGTTGCTATTTCTTGTGCATGGTGTACTATTTTTCCCTGGACGTTCACTGCTCCATACTTTATTGATAATGTTCTTGTGGCATTTGGTTTTTATTTAGTCACCCTTCAAGCTCAACGGGAATACCCTCCAGATTTGCCATGTAAAGATAAGTTTCTCCTGCAAAGCACAATAGTGCCTCCAAATGTTGATGTTGATCAGCTTGCACAAGATACTGTAAGATATATTCCTCTCCTACTGTGAGCTTGATTATATCTATAAGAATCTAAGTCAATTTTGTTTTCTCTGGGGACATTATTTATGTTAATGCAACAAGTTCAATAAGGAGGGTGGGCGAACAATAGAGGAGCGCAAGCTTAAGGTCGTCTATATTTCTTCTAAATCAACTCCTCGAAGTTTAGAAGATTACTCTAAACCATCTTTTGATACTAATCTAGTAAGTTGTCTTCTCTTTACTGCGTCTGATATCTTTCTACAAATCTTTTTAACTATTATTTTTATTCAGTAAGGCAAACTATTTACTTTTTAAAGTTGTGCTGGTCCCCCCCCCCCCCCCCCCTCACCCCTTCTTTTTTTTTTTTTTGT